GGTGATACTAGTCATAGTGATGTCGTTATTGGCAATACTGTTGATGGTGATGCTGATGATGCCAGTGGTGATTGTGGTGATGCTGGTGGTAGTGATGATGTCGTTATTGGTAATGCGGGTGATGGTGGTGATGATGATGATGATGCCAGTGATGATTGTGGTGATGCTGGTGGTAGTGATGATGTTGTTATTGGTAATGCGGGTGATGGTGGTGATGCTGATGATGCCAGTGGCAATTGTGGTGATGCTGGTGGTCCGTGATGATGCCGTTATTGGTAATTCGGGTGATGGTGGTGATGCTGATGATGCCAGTGATGATTGTGGTGGCTGGTGGTGGTAATGATGTCGTAAATGGTAATGCTAGAGTCACATTCTTATTGTTATCGTTTGCTTTCGCGTATCTCCGTCCACGTCGCTCTTGCTGACGCTCCAGTGAAAGGTAAACTCCGAACGGATGTTGCCCAACAGCCCCGTCACGAACGTCGGCATCTGTGGATGGTGGGGAGAGGGACAGTCGCAGGACGCAGCGAGACTCAGGAGTGTAACGTTGCCCATGTTAGATGCAATGGATTAGAATAAATTTCCTATTCGTTGTGATCAGAATGAGAATCTTTATTTATCCTGGAGAAATCCGATGAGATACTAAGCTCTTTTTGTCAGCTGTGATGGGTTCATGCAACTCCTTAGCACCAGAGGTGGGACAAAGTCATTGTTATGCAAGTCCAAGTCGAGTCTCAAGTCATCAAATTCATGACTCGAGTCTGACTCGAGTCCAAGTCACATGACTCGAGTCCACACCTCAGAGGTGGGACAAAGTCATTGTTATGCAAGTCCAAGTCGAGTCTCAAGTCATCAAATTCATGACTCGAGTCTGACTCGAGTCCAAGTCACATGACTCGAGTCCACACCTCAGAGGTGGGACAAAGTCATTGTTGTGCAAGTCCAAGTCGAGTCTCAAGTCATCAAATTCATGACTCGAGTCTGACTCGAGTTCAAGTCACATGAATCGAGTCCACACCTCTGCTTAGCACTAACCAACAGGAGCCAAACCAGCCGACCGTATGACTAATCTCACCCCTTCGCTTATCAACACGAGGTAGACCAGCGGATGGTATGACTAAGCTAACCCCTTCGCTGATCAACACAAGGTAGACCAGCCGATGGTATCACTTGGCCCCCCGTGGCACGACTGAAGTGGAGCGTCACTCAACAGCGAGCGGGTCGCGATGCGAGACATTCCACAGTAAAACGTCTCCAAACAGCGCATTGCAATGCGTGGTTAAATAGGGGGTGGCGATTCCGTCACTCGGACGTGAGCGAGCAAGGAGGGCAACCGAGCAGGAACCATCTTTGGTGCTGTGTGCACCACTGGCAGTGCCGGATTAAGCCAGTGTGGGGCCTCTAGCATTTGTTATAAAGGGGCCCTAAAATAAAAAACGTAAATATGAAAACACACATCATTAGACCTCATTTGCCATTACCAAAATATAATAATAGGGGTTTCCCCCCTTTTTTTCTGGCAACAAAACGGAAACCTTTATTTTAAAAAAAAATAATCTTGTGTGCATTAACCACAATACTTGTGGTCAAAATGCAAGCAAAAAAAAAACACTCTGATAATATGTATACTTGAAATCTAGATATGCATTGTCCTTGAAACTGATTGGTCCACACCAGAGACGGCTTTCTTTTGAGCCTCGTCTCAATTGGTGCGAGACCAGAGGACGCCAAAAGGCGTACAGCTCAAAGACAGCTGCACTATCAAAGTAATGAGGACTCGGGGTGAGCATCTACATCATTAGACCTCCTTTGCCAGTACCAACATATAATCATAGGGGTTTCCCCCTTTTTTCTGGCAACAAAACTGAAACCTTTAACAAGGAATCATGTGTGCATTAACCACGATACTTGTGTTTATTTCTAGATTTGAAGCTTTCGTGACTGCAAGGATTCATATTCTTAGGTTTTTTTCGGTAAAGTCACGTAGGTAAAACATTTAAAACGTTTATTAATTAATTACTTTTATTAATTTTTATTTTTTTACCTACGTGACTTTACAGAAAAAACCTAAGAATACGATACTTGTGGTCTCGTTACTCTGATAGTGCATGGTCTTTGAGCTGTACGTCTTTTGGCGTCCTCTGGTCTAGCACCAATTGAGACGAGGCTCAAAAGAAAGCTGTCTCTGGTGTGGACCAATCAGTTTCAATGACAATGCATATATTATCAGAGTTTTTTTTGCATTTTGACCACAAGTATTGTGGTTAATCCAGACATGATTCCTTGTAAAAAGGTTTCAGTTTTGTTGCCAGAAAAACGGGGGGAAACCCTATTATAATATTTAAACACACATTTTTCACTTGCATAGTAAAGTACTTGTATTTTTCATTTGCTATACAGCCAGATAATACGACAAATCGCTAACCTTAAACACCCAGTCGTTCATAAAAGTCGAAGGCGGAATTGATAGCTTGAAAGCATTTAGCGCGGGGCCCTTGAAAGTGCGGGTCCCTTTAGCATATGCAGCTACTTTTGCTACTACGATAATCCGGCACTGACTACCGGTCGCACACCATCGCCTCCGGCTCGCCTCGGTTTACCATCGAGGTCACATCACCACCCCTCGAGCTCACGTCACCACGTTCGTAGCCGGCAACGTGATTGGTGGGGTGGCACAGGCGACACTAAGCATTTGTTACCAGGCAAAGGCCCACTGAGCTATGGAGCTCTTTTTTTCAGAAGCGACATGGCTATCACAAATGATAGCTCAACGAAATTGGTTTATCACGTGGAAATGGATAGCAGCGAAATACTCTAATCGCGCGTTGATTCTAAATGTGGAGGGAAAAACCGGAGAAAATTCCCCGCGACTACGGGGAGAGAGAGAGACGCAGACTCAAAATATACAGCAGGCGTCAGGGTCGGGATCGATCCCACGACCTCCTGTATACCAGGCGAGGGAGTTAACATCTCCTAGCCACCGTGATGATGAGAGAGGCACTGAAACTCCAAATATACAGCAGCAGGCGTCAGGGTCGAGATCGAACCCACGACCTCCTGTGTACCAGGCGAGGTTTTAAACATCTCCTAGCTACCATGATGATGGTGAGAGAGAGAGAGGCACTGAAACTACAAATATACAGCAGCAGGTGTCAGGGTCGGGATCGGGATCGAACCCACGACCTCCTGTATACCAGGCGAGGTAGTTAACATCTCCAAGCCACCGTGATGATGAGAGAGGCACTGAAACTCCAAATATACAGCAGCAGGCTTCAGGGTCGAGATCGAACTCACGACCTCCTGTGTACCAGACGAGGTTGTAAACATCTCCTAGCCACCGTGATGATGACGATGAGAGAGAGAGGCACTGAAACTCCAAATATACAGCAGCAGGCGTCAGGGTCGGGATCGAACCCACGACCTCCTGTATACCAGGCGAGGTTGTAAACATCTCCTAGCCACCGTGATGATGATGAGAGAGGTCAACAGCAGCGGGGCAAACGAATGGCGAGGGCTCGATCCGGTTAGTCGCAGGAGATCTTGAACAGAGAATCTCAACTCTGTTTGATAGTGGGAGCAATAATTATTGATGCGTGGAGCTCGCGGTACCCAGTGCAAACATGTTTACACAAACGATTAAGGAGATACATTCTTGCAAATAGAATTAGACTAATTTAATCAGTGATATTTATTTGAAAATGAATCCCATTAGAACAACAAACAGATGTTCGAAACACGTCTAGAGTTTGCGCGCATTAAATCAGTGATCCTCAAATGATGGTGTAGGACGACCGATAAAGTGGTCTTGATTGGAGGGTGCAATGCCAAAGGGGCCGTCCATAAATGACGTCACGCACCTAGGGGGTGGGGGGTCAGACATTTGTGACGATGTGTGACGAGTGGGCGGCGGGGGGTGAGAAATGTGACGTCACATCAAAATGCGCAACTTTAAATAAATAAATAATAGTTTTAACAACACTAATTGTTATAAAAACACTCCTACAACATCAGAGTGCAGCGCCGCATTAAATACGCACTACAATGACAATAGTTTAAAGCGATTTGAAGCATGTTTTATTTTCAAAATGAAATGTTTTTTTGGGGGGGGGGGGGGGGCAGAGCTTTGTGACGTCATATTTGAGGGGGGGTGGGTCTGACTTTTTGTGACGCCGTGTGACGAGGGGGGGGGGGTCAAAAATCGTCCAAAATTGCGTGACGTCATTTATGGACAGCCCCCAAAAGGTTTGAGAACCACGGGGTTTGGCATCTCCTCGACGCCTACGGGAAGGGAGTTCAAAGACATCCGTTCAGTGATCCAACAACCCCCGGCCACCACAGGGCTGACTCATAGGCGTGCATAGCCACCACCACCGCATGGGTAAGGGGCCGTCCATAAATGACGTCACGCACCTAGTGGGGGGGGGTCAGACATTTGTGACGATGTGTGACGAGGGGGGGGGGGTTGAGAAATGTGACGTCACATCAAAATGCGCAACTTTAAATAAATATAGACAACACGTTCTATTTAATTAAATAGACTTTTCAATAAATGTTTCTCCTACAACATCAGAGTGCAGCGCCACATTAAATACGCACCACAATGACAATAGTTTAAAGCGATTTGAAGCATGTTTTATTTTTTTCGGGGGGCGGGGGTGGGCAGGGCATTGTGACGTCATATTTCAGAGGGAGGGGGTCTGACTTTTTGTGACGTCGTGTGACGAGTGGGGGGGGGTCAAAAATCGTCCAAAATCGCGTGACGTCATTTATGGACGGCCCCTAAGTAAACAATGCAGTCGTGTTGACACACCAATGTGGTGGTTGTGGTGCTGGACACGAATTGGTTCATTGCGACCGATTCCAACAATCTCCTCGTTCTGCCACGCGGTCACATGGCGGCGACATCGAGTCACTGTTGACAAACCCAAGTCAAAGCCATTCTTTCTACCGCCAAACCCCACTAACACCCAGCCTCAATCCACCCACACGGTGTCCCAGATCACCACACATCCCCTCCTACCCTCCTCTCTCTCTCTCTCTCCACCTAACTACTCTCCTCCTCCTCCTCCCACCACCATCATCGCTCACTCACTCAGCCATCACCAATCCTCACGAATCCTCCAAGCCACACGCTGCTCCCCCAGTGTGGTGCAAGGGACGGAGGAGGAGGAGGAGGATAAGAAAACAAGCCAGTAGGAGCAGGAGAAGAGGAGCAGGAGGATAAGAAGAGGAGGATAAGGAGGAGGAGGATAAGGAGGATAAGAAGAAGAGGAGGAGGAGGAGGAGTTCCCGACAGTGGCTGGAAACATCCGGGGGCTGACTTGCCTGGGCTTCTGAGCAAGAAAGCCAACTTCGCAAAGGAGGGATTAGTGAATAAATATTACTACTAACAACAATAAGATAGCAAATACTTTACGTGTATCGCCAGGGAGCATTAATTAATATTTTTTAAAAACGCATTAGCGAAGAGGATCCAGCAATGCCGGACCACATCAGCGTCCCCGACTTCGTGAGCGAGACTCTGGAGGACTACAGCTCGCCCACCACGTCCACCTTCACCACCAAGATGAACATGTGCCGGTCGTCAGTCAGTGCCGTGGAGGAGGTGAGTAGGGTGGACTTTAACACAGCGGTAGAGTTAGTGTGTTGTTGTGTGGGTTGTTGTGTTGTGTGTGGTGTGGTGTGGGTTGTGGTGTTGTGTGTGTGTGGTGTGTGTGTGTTTTGTGTGTGGTGTTGTGTGGTGTTGTGTGTGTGTTGTGTGTGGTGTGTTGTGTTGTGTTGTTGTGTGTGGTGTTGTGTGTATGTTATTGGTGTGTTGTGTGTGGGTTGTGATGTTGTGTGTGAATACGTGTGTGTGGTGTGTGGTGTGTTGTGTGTGGTGTTGTGTTGTGTGTTTTGTGTGGTGTTGTGTGTGTGGTGTGTGTGTGGGGTGTGGTGTTGTGTGTGTGGACACGTGTGTGTGGTGTTGTGTGTGTGTGGTGTTGTGTGTGTGTGGTGTTGTGTGGTGTTGTGTGTGTGTGGTGTTGTGTGGTGTTGTGTGTGTGTGTGGTGTTGGGTGTTATGTGTGTGGTGTTGTGTGTGTGTTTTGTGTGTGTTGTGTTGTGTGTTATGTGTTGTGTGTGAACACGTGTGTGTTGTGTGTTATGTGTTGTGTGTGTGAACACGTGTGGTGTTGTGTGTGAACACGTGTGTGTTGTGTTATGTGTTGTGTGTGTGAACACGTGTGTGTTGTGTTATGTGTTGTGTGTGTGAACACGTGTGTGTTGTGTTATGTGTTGTGTGTGTGAACACGTGTGTGTTGTGTTATGTGTTGTGTGTGTGAACACGTGTGTGTTGTGTTATGTGTTGTGGTGTGTGAACACGTGTGTGTTGTGTTGTGTGTGGTGTTGGGTGTTGTGTGTGTGGTGTTGTGTGTTGTGTGTGAACACGTGTGTTGTGTGTTGTGTTTTGTGTTGTGTGTGAACACGTGTGTGTTGTGTGTTGTGTTTTGTGTTGTGTTGTGTGTGAACACGTGTGTTGTGTGTGTGGTGTTGTGTGTTGTGTGTGAACACTTGTGTGTTGTGTTGTGTTATGTGTGTGTTGTGTGTGACCTCTTGTGTGTCATCAGCATGTTACTTCGCAGGCGGGCTTGGGGAGGGCGTCATCCAACAGTAGATTAACCGTGGCCGATATGCAGATATCGTATCGATTATACACATGCAGATATCGTATCGATTATACACATGCAGATATCGTATCGATTATACACATGCAGATATCGTATCGATTATACACATACGTGATGCTACGCCGTAGAAGTGGTGGTACACTAGCCGTACACATGATGCTATACATACAGTAGTGTAAGTGTTGGCATACGCAATTGATACGATACATTTATACACAGTACAGTCTATACATTGACACACACACAGGATACAGTCTATACATTGACACACACAGTACAGTCTATACAGTGACACACAGTACAGTCTATACATTGACACACACATGGTACAGTCTATACATTGACACACACAGTACAGTCTATACATTGACACACACACAGTGCAGTCTATACATTGACACACACACAGGGTACAGTCTATACATTAACACAGACACACATGGTACAGTCTGTATATTGACACACACACAGTACAGTCTATACATTGACACATACACACAGTACAGTCTATACATTGACACACACAGTACAGTCTATACGTTGACACACACACATGGTACAGTCTATACAATGACATACACAGTACAGTCTATATATTGACACACACTACAGTCTATACATTGACACACACACACAGTACAGTCTATACATTGACACACACAGTACAGTCTATACATTGACACAAACACAGTACAGTCTATACATTGACACACACAGTACAGTCTATATATTGACACACACAGTACAGTCTATAAATTGACACACACACGGTACAGTCTATACATTGACACACACACATACAGTATAGTCTATACATTGACACACAGTACAGTCTATACATTGACAAACACAGTATAGTCTATACATTGACACACAGTACAGTCTATACATTGACACACACAGTACAGTCTATACATTGACACACACAGTACAGTCTATACATTGACACACTGACAGTACAGTCTATACAGTGACACACACATTACAGTATATACATTGACACACACAGTACAGTCTATACATTGACACACTGACAGTACAGTCTATACAGTGACACACACATTACAGTATATACATTGACACACACAGTACAGTCTATACATTGACACACACAGTACAGTCTATACATTGACACACACAGTACAGTCTATACATTGACAAACACACAGTACAGTCTATACATTGACACACACATAGTGCAGTCTATACATTGACACACACACAGTACAGTCTATACATTGACACACAGTACAGTCTATACATTGACACATACACACAGTACAGTCTATACATTGACACACACACAGTACAGTCTATATATTGACACACACAGTACAGTCTATACATTGACACACAGTACAGTCTATACATTGACACACAGTACAGTCTATACATTGACACACACAGTACAGTCTATACATTGACACACACAGTACAGTCTATACATTGACACACACAGTACAGTCTATACATTGACACATACACGGCTCACGGCAGTGGCGACAAATGCTATGTTGCGGTTCTGGGTCTGCCCTAGGTTTGCTCGGCCTTAAATTTAGTACCTAGTGCAGTGTATGAACATCAGCACTGGGGAGACGTGGTGTTGGCTAAGATATTTGTGTTTGATTTGCCCCCCAAGTGTTTGCTTGCAGAGCCCCCCACGATTGTTATTATTTGGGACCAGAAGCTGCCCTTCTTGCCAAATCTGTATTGTTTCTATTGTTATTTCTATTATTTCTATTATTTTTATTTATTTTTACCTACGTGACTTTACCGAAAAAACCCAAGGGTATGAATCCGTATTGTTGTGGTACGAATTGACCCCAGCGTAAATGTTTAGGGCATCAACAAACACAGCACCGTGACCATACAACTCCTGTAGCAAGCTTTGTTTAATGATTGAGAAGATGGGGGTGATGTAAAAGCCCTCTTGCAGCTCTGTTATAATGCGTCTATGTTACACTAATGTAACATAGATGGCATCAATGAAGGCTGGCATGATTATCTACTTTCGTTCTCATTGTACTGAAAGTTTAATAGTGATTCGAGGTTTTGTCCACATTTCTCCGGTTAGTAAGTGATTTTTTAGCCCGCCAGGACACTTTTTTCGCTGGGAACTGACGAATTCACGCCATTCTGTGTAGAATTGTCGACATTATTAAGTGGATGGAAGCCGTAGAAGAGTAAAAACGACTGGGATGGGCTGGGGTGGTCTGCACTGCAAGATACATACATTCTTGATCATTTGAAGGCTGTGTTATTCTAACTACTACATGATGTAGATGCTCTCATTACTTTGATAGTGGCATTGTCTTTGAGCTGTCCGCCTTTTGGCATCCTCTGGTCTAGCACCAATTGAGACGAGGCTCAAAAGAAAGCTGTCTCTGGTGTGGACCAATCAGTTTCAAGGACGATGCATATATTGTCAGAGTATGTTTCTTGTTTGCATTCTGACCACACGCATTGTGGTTAATGCAGACATGATTCCTTGTAAAATAAGGTTTCAGTTTTGTTGCCAGAAAAAAGGGGAAAAACCTATTCATATATTTTAGTACTGGCAAAGGAGGTCCTATGATGTAGATACTAATAGCTAGCCATTCATGTGCCGATTTAAACGCGTTTATCAGACAACATTAAAAAATAGTAATTCTCAGCAGGCCCCATGGTGTAAAATGCAGTCTCCAACTCTTATCCATTTTATCATGGGACTTTTCTTGTCAATATCAAAATATAACAATCATGTCCGCATTAACCACACAAAACTTGCGGTAAACATGCAAACAAAAACATGCTCTGGTAATATATGCATTGTATTTGAAACTGATTGGTCCACACCAGAGACAGCTTTCTTTAGAGCCTAGTCTCAAACAGTGTTAGACCAGAGAACGCCATCATCCATTGTGTCTCTCTGGCCTTTCTATTTACGTCCTATGAGAAATAGGGCCATTACCCAAAATTTTGCTTCTTATATATTTTTCCTTTTAAGGCCTGCACACCACTACAAACGCAGCATCACCAAATGATTTAGCTGCAACATTTGGGTCAAAATACAGGGGATGATCCATAATCATAGAAACCCCCACTAGTTTCTCAATAACCCCATTTTCAACTCGGAGTAAAAGTGACTTTGTTGCTCATATGCGCATTGAGACGGTGCTTATCTCCTGTTGTTGAAATTCCACTTTCCTATGGCTAGACCGAGTCTATCCATGGGGCAACCAATGTTGACTTCCCCACAAAGTGGTACTCGTCTAACGTGAGCCGGCAGAGATGATGGATCGAGTCAATCCTCAACCATGATTTGAACTCGCAACCTCATTCCCAGCCGATTGTTGTGCCACCAGGTGATCGAAGATTAGCAAAACGAAGATTCAATATCTTACACAGTAATGTTCAATGATATATAATCCGTATTTTCCAGATTATGAGACACCCTGGAAAGAAAGACCCACTCTGGACTAGCGGTATCAATTCGATGATACCATTTTGGCGTCTCACACGCACACTCGCCTACCAGATTATAAGACGGCACCTTCGGACGTTTGCTGCAAAACACGGAGAGAAAAGTCCGTCGTAATGATCAGACTACGGGAATATCGTCTATTGAGATTTGTCAAGATTTATGCGACGCGTGTAGAGGCTTTGAAACAAAACATTTTCTCGGTTAAGTCGCCACCCCCCTGTTATTTTAGTGGGGTATCTGTAAACGGACCATCCTGTTTGTGGTCACACTTTTAGTCTGGGAAGCCAGTGTGCAAGCAGAAGATTAGCGATGTTTGAACGCTCAAAGCTTGGGGAGGTTGCAACTTGCATTCCTCCATATTGAGTGTGTTATTGTTTACATGTTGTCTCTGTGCCTCTTACCTATCCTTTGCACTGAAGTCTCCTGCGATTGTGGTATATGTAGGGGAACGCCTATTGCCCGCGATGATATAGGG